ACGAATTCAGATATGGGATGAAATCGGATAGAGATGAAATCTGGTTTAAGAGTTTTAAGAGTTTTTAAGAGTTTTAGCCAAATGCTTTATAATATAGTATAGATTATGTTTTTTAGAAAATAAAAAAATAATTTACTCTATACTAACAACAAGTCGATGCTGTTGGTCCTCTTGAATTTTAATTCGAGAAAAACATAATTTTTATTTATTAAAAAAACTATTAAATTTTTTACACCTTCTGCAACAATGTCGTCTTTGTAGATCCTCCCGAATTTTAATTCTAGAAAACACAATTTTTATTTACAAAAAAAAACTATTAAATTTTTTATATCTTTTGCAACGACATGTTGTCGCTGTAGTTATCAATTTTTCTGAAAAGATTTCAAACTCTTCAATGAGTTGGAAAAAAAAAACTATTTTCATACCTGTAGCGACGAATCCTATGTCGTCGATATAGACTTTGTAGCTATAGAGGTCATTTCTTGTAATGATATTTTTGTTTGTGAATGTCATGTTGGTATTCGTACATTTTAAAAACAATTTGTTTGCTAGTTATAATAAAATTATTTAATTACTTATTTGACTTGTTTTTGTTATGATTTTTATACATTAAAGAAAATATTAAATAATATGTTAGACATTCTTCTCATTTTGACATTTTTGTCTTGTCATGTTTATTTTTACCAAACATTATATTAGACAACTTGTTAAACTTTGTCCTGTCAGGGATAATCCGGTCATTTTAACTGTTTTGTCATGTCTCGCCCATAACTTATTCAATTCGCTCTCGTCTTGTGCTGTCATGTCATGTTTTGTGCTATCATGTTCTGTGTTGTCTTGTTTTATCATGTCATGTCCACGTATCAAACGCACATTTAAGATTATAGAAAAACATTAACAATAATCAATATCACGTTTAATGGTGAAGCTTTTACAATAAAGATTGAAGCTCTATTAATAAAGATTAGAAGTTCAATAGAGCGCAAAAGAAACTTTATCAATGAAGATTAAACCATTACTAACTATAAATTTGATAAACTGGAATTACACCAAAATTACCGGAATTTGTACCGCAAGAGTTAAATCTATCATCCGCAGTGCATTCAATGTAAAGAAAAGGGTATAAGTAGCATGTTCAAAAGTGAACGAAATTAAATATAATGAATAAAATTAAAATCGAACTGAAATTATAGATGTAGTAGAACAAACCGCACAATATAATCTTGTCCATAAAGGTTTTATATGTCAATTCTTTGAAGCTGTGAGTATTAGAGTTGCAAAGCCCATGATTTAATGCACTCAAAATTCAATTTCCAACAAAGACAATTGAATGATGCAAATCAGATGCAGAATTCAACAGCTCGAACGATGCTATATTAAAAGCAGTAAGGGATGATATAAAGAGAAAGAGAGCGAATCTCGATATCCAAATCTAAGGAGGAGGTTGGCTATTTTATTTATATTGGGAATTTGATCAGATAACTACCTAATCACATCCCAGAATTCTTTTCACTTCTTCCCTAAGTTTCAGCTTTAGAGATAAAGTTGGAAACCAAGTCTCTGATTTTAAAGAAAAAAACGTGATAATTATCTTTTAATAAAAAGTTGCTCAATGTTAATTACTCATTAAATAACTCTTTTAATTAATTCGGAATTGTTAAATATCTCTGTTAAATGTTCTATAAAATTAAAGCCTTGATGTGTCATGTGAAGTGCTCTTCCTCACACCACTTGCAAATCACATGGCCCTCGCCTCGCCATCACCCTCTCCCTCTCCCACAATCATGTGTGCGCATATGTGTTATATCCTAATTCTGCTACCTCTCCCACTCATCAAGGCAGAACGTTGCACTTTTGAAGAACCCCTCACCATAAGACCAACAAATCACTGAAAAATCATCTGAATTTAAAGGCTTATAAACTCAATCAATGTTTGCATTCTACCAATGTCGGATGGAAAAAACTTCTAAACTCATGTGAATTCTGACACAATCACCCATTGGTGACCCAAAATTGGAGGATCAAATAGTTGATGAACGTCTTCCAAGTTAGTCATCTTGGTAGGGCTTAGTGTGTGTATGAACACATAGCAATAACCAAGTCATACTCTTCTCGCAAGGTGCTTTAAATACATGACAAAATTAAAAGTCGAGCTCTGATACCACTTTGTTGGGGTGAAGTCATACATATGTACCACATGAAAAAAAGATGCAAACTTTACAAATAGAAATGCAAAAGAACTTCAATTAAAATATGGAACCGCTTATAACACATTGATTAAGTGATCAAGAAACAAAAATGATTGATAAACATTGTGGGTTATGTGGTAACTGTTGGGATCAAAATAGTCCTAAGTATTTGAAAGTTTTATCAAGGCAATTACCTTGTATTGTATTGTAATATTCATGTAATTGGACTTAAGGGCATTGGGCTTTACATTGTAAATGTCACCTATAAATAGGTGACATGGGCTTAAAATTAGAAGTTGTTCATTCATTACAATTTCCATGAGAGTCGACTAAAGTGATTTAAGTGCTTTGTAGTTTTCTGTTTCATGAATAAGATAAGCTGGTGTGTTCATCATTTTTATGACCTTCAACTTAATTCTCTCATTCCATGTTTGTATCTTGAATTATAGTTAGATTTGGGATCCAAAATTGGTATCAGAGCAAAATCGAATCATCTATTTGATACGATTATTCTATCTATAGCAAAATTCAAGCAAATTTTTTTTCTGTTTTGTCAATGGAATAGTACTCACATGAACTGCAGCTTCCTGTTCGACATTTTGAGCCTAAATTGGTCAAATTCACTATGATTGTAAGTGTTTTAATCAA